CCCTACACTTAGACCAATTTTCAGACAAAATCAATTTGACAATAATCGTTTTGGACAACATACACAAACAACTCCACAACAAACTCCTTTCAATAGTTTTGGCGTAGCCAACCAACCAACAAAGCGTGTTAGACAAGCAGAAAGTGAACAAAGTAAAATGAGTATAGATGAAGAAACTAGAAATCAAGAAGAGATAAATTATCACGACTATATGCAGAAAGAATATTATAATCAATTAGCTTCTTATTCCCAATACTATCCTCAATATTACCAAGAACAAAGTTATCCACAAACCTCAGACTATACATACACACAACCAGCCACAACCGAACAGGAAACAGAACAACCAAATGAAATAGAAATCGAGAAAGCCGAAAATTTTTCAGCTGCCAGCCTCGGAAACCAACAATACATAATTATCACCTATAAAGGAAAAAATATAAAATGTTTAATAGATACAGGATCTACTGTTAATATGATGACATACAATGTTTTTAATTTACCAATTCACGATACCGATTGTCTTATTCAAACCAGCAATGGACCTTTGACTATCACAAAAAAGGTGAATGTTCTTTCAAACAACTTGTTCAAAAGTAATAATGAATTTCTTTTACATCAATTTTCACCAGATTACGATCTACTAATTGGTAGAAAACTGCTTTCAGACGCACAAGCCGTTATAGATTATAAATCCCAAACTGTTAATTTATACAATAAAAAGTATAAATTAATCAATGATATTCCGATCACAAACCAAAATCATTTCGTAGCTCAACCAATTCTTGAAACTTATCAACACCTCAACAACCCAATCAGAGATAATTCTAAAAATCAAGAATCTATCAACTCAAGTCCTTACCGACTAGACCATTTAAATGAAGAAGAAAAATTTAATTTAATAAGTTTATTGAAACAATATCAACACATTCAGTTCAAAGAAGGCGATCAACTTAGTTTCAGTAATCAAGAAAAACATGTTATTAACACTACTCACAATTCACCTTTGTATACAAAACCATACAGTTATCCACAAGCATACGAACAAGAAGTTGAACACCAAATTCAAGACATGTTAGATCAAGGTATAATACGCCCCAGTAATTCCCCTTATTGTAGTCCTTTATGGATCGTACCGAAAAAACAAGACGCTTCAGGTAAACAAAAATTTAGAATCGTAATTGACTATAGAAAATTAAACGACGTAACTATAAATGACAGACACCCAATACCAAACATGGATGAGATTTTAGGAAAACTAGGCAAATGCAATTATTTCACAACAATCGACCTTGCAAAAGGTTTCCATCAACTTGAAATGCATACAGATTCCATCAAAAAAACAGCCTTTTCCACAAAAAATGGCCATTATGAATATCTTCGTATGCCATTTGGATTAAAGAATGCACCTGCAACCTTTCAACGTTGCATGAATAATGTTTTGCGACCGTTAATAAATAAACACTGTTTAGTATATCTTGACGATATAATTGTATATTCAACATCTTTAAAAGAACACCTACATTCACTGCAATTAGTTTTCGAGAAGCTTTCTGAAGCAAATCTCAAATTACAACTTGACAAATGTGAGTTTCTAAAACAAGAAACTTCCTTCCTAGGACACGTCATAACTAAGGATGGAATAAAACCCAATCCTGATAAAATCAAGGCAATTCTAAAATATCCTATTCCCACAAAAACTAAAGAAATAAAAGGTTTTCTCGGACTAACCGGTTATTATAGAAAGTTTATTCCAAATTTTGCAGACATAGCCAAACCAATGACAACAGTACTTCGAAAAGACGCAAAAATAGACACTAAAAATCCAGAATACATTAGAGCTTTTGAAAAGCTAAAACAACTTATTTCCAATGACCCAATTTTAAAAATTCCAGATTTCAAAAATAAATTCATTTTAACAACTGACGCAAGTAACGTAGCCCTTGGAGCTGTACTTTCTCAAGACGGACATCCTATCAGTTTTATTAGCAGAACCCTCAATGATCACGAAACCAATTATAGCGCTATAGAAAAAGAACTTTTAGCTATTGTATGGGCAACAAAAACCTTTCGACACTACCTTCTAGGTCGACATTTTGAAATCAATAGTGACCATCAACCATTATGTTGGTTGTATAAAATGAAAGAGCCAAATTCAAAATTAACCCGATGGAGAGTAAAATTATCAGAATACGATTTTGACATAAAATACATAAAAGGAAAAGAAAACCACATAGCTGACGCTCTATCGCGAGTAAAAATAGAACACACTTATTTCGGAGAAGAAACACAACATAGCGCTGACGAAGATAACAGTAATTTAATTTGCATTACAGAGAAACCAATAAACACATTTAAAAGACAAATTATATTTTCCAAAGGCATTCCAAATATTACAAAACAGAATTACTTCAAAAAACTTATAATTCACATCACATACGACAACATGACTAAAGACAAAGCCGAAAAATATTTAATTGACTATTTTTGTACAAAAACTAGTGCAATGTTTATAGACAGTGATGCAGATTTCGAAATCATTCAAAACGCACATAAAGAAATTATCAACACTAGCCACACTAAAATTCTACGAAGCCTCATTCAATTAAAAAATATAAACTCATATGCCGAATTTAAAGAACTTATTTTGAAAACCCATGAAAAACTCTTACACCCCGGAATTCAAAAAACAAATAAACTCTTCAGTGAAACTTACTATTTCCCCAACAGCCAATTACTGACACAAAACATAGTAAACGAATGTAACATTTGCAATTTAGCAAAAACCGAACACAGAAACACAAACATGCCAATGAAAATTACTCCCAGACCCGAACATTGTCGCGATAAATTTGTAATAGACATTTATTCCTCTGAAGGCAAACATTATCTTAGTTGCATAGACATTTACTCAAAATTCGCTACTCTTGAAAATATTAAAGCAAAAGACTGGATAGAATGCAAGAATGCATTAATGCGTATATTCAATCAGTTAGGAAAGCCAAAATTATTAAAAGCTGACCGAGACGGCGCATTTACCAGCTTAGCACTCAAAAAATGGCTTGAAAATGAAGGAGTAGAATTACAATTAAATACTACAAAAACAGGAATAGCAGACATAGAACGACTACACAAAACAATAAACGAAAAAATTAGAATAATCAACACTTTAAATGACGAAGAAAATAAACTCAGCAAAATAGAAACCATACTTTACATTTACAATCACAAGACTAAGCATGACACAACTGGACAAACTCCTGCACACATATTTTTATATGCGGGACAACCAAAGTTAAACACTCAAGAAAATAAAGAAAAAGTAATAAATAAAATCAACAGTGACCGACAAGAATACGAAGTCGATACCAGATATCGAAAAGGACCATTACAAAAAGGAAAACTAGAAAACCCCTTTAAAGCCAATAAAAATGTTGAAAAAATAGATCCAGATCATTACCAAATTACTAACAGAAATAGAATTACACGTTACTATAAAACTCAGTTTAAAAAATTAAAGAAAATTAACCAAATTCAAATTCCACAGGTTTCTACTTCATAATCATACTATCATTTCCCATATCCCAATTGACTTTCAATCCATTAATACAATCAAAATTATCCCATATCCTGATCATAATGGCTATCAACTCGATTACATTAGCACAACTTCTTATTATGAGAAAGATAATAAAATCTTTAATTAAGCCAAATACCATTGTAACTTGGAACATAACTTCTACAATTGTAAAACAAAATTGCCAAAAAAAAAAAAAAAAAAAAAAAAAAAAATAATAATAATAATGTTAGTCTTAATATTCAGGGTAACAAAATTATAAATATCAATCAATGTAAACTGCAAATAAACGACATAATTGTAAGCGATAACTATTTTCAACTAGAAGTTGACCTTACACCATTGTATCCCCCAATAGAAATTATTAAAGTAAAACCTATAAAACATGATGACATTGTAAAAATTGTATCACAAAATAATACTTTAACATATACAATCATTGTAATCACAATAACCATATTCATAATTGTAATCCTATATTTTAAATATGTATCTTGTAACCCCATAAAATTATTTCGAACAAAATTTAAAAAAACAAATTCACGAGCCCAACAAACAAACAACGCCATCAGTCGAAACAGAAGAGCAAAAACAGGAAAACACGATCATCGAGATGACACAATCAACTTTACCAAAACTTTACCCGTCTGTGTCACCTTGACTCGCAGGCTCGCCTCTTAAGGAGAGGGAAGTGACATAATCATACTGATTACGTCTACAATATTCAGAAGCTGTATGGTCGCGTCATTAAGCTGATTCGTCTTTGCAAGGCGCGCAGCTTCGTTGACCTAGGTCTAGTATTCGGATGATGTGTTGGAATTGTGTGGTGAAATGCCCAACACTGAATACTCATACACTCACACAGCCTCACACAGTGCATAATAGACAATTAGAAGTTGACGCAACATTGTTAATGTGTTGGAATTGTGTGGTGAAATGCCCAACACTGAATACTCATACACTCACACAGCCTCACACAGTGCATAATAGACAATTAGAAGTTGACGCAACATTGTTAATGTGTTGGAATTGTGTGGTGAAATGCCCAACACTGAATACTCATAAATAAATACTGCATAAATACGTGTCAATAGACCTACAATTGTTAGTCTTAAGTTGATATTCAATAAAGCAAGTTGTCATAATCCAACCTTGACTTCGTCTTTTAAATCATATTAGCGTTGCTGTTAGTATATGTCGCAGCATTTATTCGACTCGTAACAGTTTTATCTTAGTATATATATATATATATATATATATAAATATATTTATTTATTTTTTGTTGACCGCAGCGCATTTTGACGGCTTTGTTGTTTAATATACATTGTATTGTTTTGTTGTTTTTTTTTTTTTTTTTTTCTTTTCTGTATTTTCATCCCAATTTGTTGGCTGCTGGCATGCAGTTGATGCGCCCTGCTTTGATTCAAAATTGTAAAGCCAATGTCGGCCAAAAACTGAATATAAAAGCCTAAAAGTTTGGCCAAAGCTACAACGGCTTTGGCATGCTCTGAAATTACTTAAAAGCTTTAAAAGTTGGCTTTTCATAAATTTTCTATTGATTTACCACAAATCCGTTTCGACACACGATTACAAGTTCTTTTTCCAATTGTTGTGAGTTCCCGATTCACTTTTACAATGTCTGATGGCCTAATGATGCACGGCGTCATCACGACCGACCAGCTGATGCACCATCGCAATATAGCACAGCGGATTGTGGAGATGCGAAACCGCTGGAAGGAGAACTTCAGCTGGTATCCGGAGGCGCAGTTGCAGCAGTATTCGCGCTTCGACGACATCTATAAGGAGAGCCGAGCCAGATATGGCGATGCGGACTTCAAGCGATATGTCGAAATGAAGCGCCTAAGGGGCATCTACACCACCGACTCCGACAAGGCCAAGCGAGAGGCGTACCAGACGCTCTCCTGCTATCCCATGGACTATATGAAAGGCATTAGATCATCGCCAACCACAAATGGTGTTTACGGTCTGATACCGCCAGCCTATCATCATTTCTGCGAAAAAAAGAAAGTAAAGGAACGTTTTACGAAAACATAATAAGGACTTCAACTTCAGTTTGCGATTGAGGGAGGAAATAGAAAAGAAGAAGAAAACAAATGTCTAATAGGGCTGCTCGGACTTAAATTCTTATATGACATCAAGCACAGATATATATATATATATAATATATATCATACAGCACAAATGTATATATGTAATATGTATCCTTCTGCGTTTGCTTTCAAATAAGCCATTCATTCCAGCGCCATACTTTGAGAGCTCCTCAATCTTATTCGAGCTAACCTAAGCCTGTGAAAAGTGTTTGTCGCCTAATAACTTAAAATTAAATAATGTATATTAATCGCTACTGAAGAATTGATTGACTTAAAGGAATAAAAATCGGCTTACAGGACTTTGTGTCTCGAACATCTCTATAGTCTAAATAAAATCGGTTTTTATAATCATTAAATTTTAGGCCATATGTATAATTTTATCTAAACCAAATTATAGACAACTATTAATAACATTTATTCAGAAGCCTTGAATTGAGGAGATATAATAAACCCTGAAACTATTATACAAAGTACTTTTTTTTTTTATTATATTCTCTCAGATCTCTAAGCTCTATCGTTTGAACAGTCTAAACACTCTCTTGCTCTCCCCTAAAGTGCAGAAAAAACATGCATTATTAAGTCGAAGGCCGTAGTTTCCAGTGCTTAGTTCTTAAGTTGATCTTAATTGGGGACTAAATATTTATTTTATTTATTTATATGGGACACTTTATTTTTAATCAATTTACTGCATACAAAAGTGTTGTGTTTAACATTTTTTAAATTTAATAGTACAGGACACATTGTCCTTTTCATATAATTATATTTTTATAATATGGAAATTGATTCATTAGAGTTTAAAAACCCCATAGAAATAACTTAACTTGACTTAAAATCTAGAACTTAAATTAATAATATTTTTACTATGTATGTAAGATAATATTATTAATGTGTGGGTAAATGGAACGTGACATCTATTTATGAAGTGACATGTGAAAACTAATCAAATTCGTATACTTCAAGTTATGCCTCCCAGTTAGTTAACTTTCGCCTCTCGATCTCTACTCTCAGATGCTCGCAAAGAGTGTTTAGCACTTTGTCATGGAAAACTGCACTGGATGGCGAAGCAGCTGCAGTTGTTTTGTGACTTTTGTGCCTTGCTGTGATTTTAGGTTTAGTTTTGATTTAAATTGTATTGGATGTTTGCCTTTGAGCTCCTGCTGCGGTTTGTTTTGTGCGGTCGAATGGGCAGCGAGTCATTGGCCCGCTGCCTTTGCCATTTCCATTTTCATTTTCATTTCCAATTCCATTTTCATTTTCATTAAGCAACAAGTTTTTAATGCAGCAGCTCAGCAACTATCGCCAAACACGTTGGCCATAGTCAGAGCGTGGCAGCGCGTTTTCCGCACATGGGAAAAAGGAAAACACTGGCAGCGGCTGTCGTGGAAAACTTTTTAATCTTGTTACGCTGGAAAAATAATAAAATTAAAGCTTGACGCTGGCTGTTAGCCACTTTGTGCAGTTTGTGAAATGTGCTCCAGGTGAAATGTTTTGCGCATTTCAATAAGCCATTTAAACTGATAATTTTTTCGCTTAAATCATGTTGGCCACTCGTACCATCGAACCATCGCAGCATCGCACCACCAACGGCGTCGCACCACCGAAAGTTAATTAAAAAATTGTGGCCATTGCGCTGGCTGCTTTTGTGTAAGTAGCTCCCGACAAATAAACTGCAATTCAATTAGGGACGTGGCCATAAATAAGCCACAATGAGACAGAGACAGAGAGACACACTGTGTGAGAAAGAGATAGCTGCTGACTGTAGGCATATTTAGGTAAATATTATTATAATTTCCGCGTTCGCCTTACATTATTTTTGTGCCTCTTCTTTGGCGGCTTAATCTTTTATAAATAACAAATGATTTTTTACCGCACAACTTTGGTTAGGTGGGCGTGGCAGGCCCATACAGCAATACAAATGCTAGCAACTTGGCTAAAGTAATTATTTTTTAATAATTGACTCGTTTCTGTTTGCGTTTTTTTTTTTTTTACAAATGTTGTTGTTGCTGTTGGTGTTGGCCTAAATTTGAACTTTGAACTAATTTGGCAAAAGTTTTCCGGTCTGCACTGCGTGTGCCTTTGGCAGCCGCTTTGGTTACAGCTCCAAGCCACAGCGCGTTACTTAAACTAATTAAATTTATTGGCTTTGGCGAATTGCTGAATTTCACAGAATTTCATAAGTTTTTAAATTCTGTTTAGGACTTTGCTAGGCAAACTGCGCTCATTGCTTAAAATTAGGTAGATGGACAGGTGGGCAATTAATGACAAGGCAGACAATGGAAAATACATCCCTTTACCTGCATAAGTGAGCTTAACCAAGACTCATTGAAGTTTCATTAATATCATTCTAAGAAAAAAAAAATAATAATAATAATAATAATAGTAAAATTATAATCTTTATGCACTTCTTAAACAAGTTTAAAAATCTTAATAATATTTAGCAGTATAGCAAAATAATTATTTATACATACAAAGGATAATCCTTCCTACCCTATTTTTTTCCAATCAATTGCTATGTCCTTGATCTAATTAACAAACAACAAAAATGTATTTACCAATACATAAATTGGCAAAAGAAGTAAAGCCCCATGTTAATTTGTATTTAAATATTTGCAAACAAAAGCTGTTGTATAAAGTTATTTAATTAAATAAACATGGCAAATGCATATGAATATAAAATATTTATGCATAAAGCAATTATGAAAATGCAAATTGCAGCAAAAACCAAATGGAAAATAAAAAGCACAATTTAAATGCATTTATTTCAAATTAGCTAACTTAGACAAACAGCTTGCATTATTAATTTGCATTTAGCCAGCCAACAGCTGAAATAAACAACAACTTTTTGATTGTGCAAATATTTTCTCAATTATATTCGCTGCATTGCATTGAATTGAGTTCTTGAAACGCCAACAAAGCGGCCAAAATTTATGAATATTAATATATTTATCGAAAGTGCATTTCATTAATTGAGCTGGCTTTTATTGCTGCAGCTAAAATGCAAACATTTAGCGTAGCCACAGCTGGGCTATGTCAGTGGGCGAGCAGGCCACGCCCACTCAGGCTTTTGAACTGGCTAACATACACGCGACCTGAAATGAATTAGTCGGCATCAGATACCGCTCAAAAGCAGCGACAAAACACAAGCCATTTAAGTGGTTTAAGTGTGTGTGTGCGTGTGTGTGTTGTGGGTGTTTTGTATCAAATTGCCCTTTTCGGTTTTACTTTTATTTTCTTATATTTTTTTTTCTTTCCCTTACTTTTTTTTTTTGTCAAATTTCTCGGTTATTTTCTTGTGGCATGTTTGACTTTTGCAACTCTTTTGGGTGCTGCCACGTGCCACGTGCCTCGAATTAAAGTGAAAGTCTTATTAAACTTTCAGATTGCCAAGGCAAAAAAAAAAAAAAAAAAAAAAAAAGGAAAAACAAAAACACTTGACAGCAAACACCACCGCAGAAGCAACATGTTACATTTACTGCTACGTTTATTTACTTAAATTGTGACAGCAGCCAAACAGGAAAAATTAAATACATGTATTTAAAATAAACAAAGTTCAGCGAACAGAAATACTCTATCCAAACTGGGTGCCATAAATTCAGGAATTATGTTAAATTTTTATAAATATTAAATACATATATTTTTACATTTTATGTGAAATTTATTTTGTATTTTTATTTATATTGCTTCATTTAATAGTTTTTTCATTTTGATTTGTTTGATTTTTAATTTTTTTTTTATTTTTTATTAATTTTTTTTTTATTGTGATTATTATTTTTATTAATTAATTTTTTAAAATTTTAATTGTGTTATTTTATTTTAGCTTTATATTTTAAAATTCTTTTATTAAATTAATTGTCTAATTTTTTGTACTTAACGCATTTTGTATAATATAAAATATTTCAACATTTTTTTTTTTTAAATCATTAAAATATATGTAAATATATAGTATTTATTTTTTGAGTATAATATATACAATTTATTCAATTACTTAATATATATATACAGATACAGAAATTTATCATAATATTGAATAATAATTGCAATATACATATATGAATTTTTATAGACCTTTTACAATTTCAAATATCTTCAAAATGTGTGGTATTATACAAGAATATTGTGTATATTACTATTGCTTAAATAATAAATAATTTTATGGGTAATACAAATATTGGAAAATAATACATCTTAAATATTTATTAAATTATACGGGAATCTTTTTTATGAATTGCTTAAATTTTTGTACTGTTAAATGTAAATTTTAGCTTTCATCTATTCCAAGAACATTTACTAACGTTAAAGAGACGTTCTGTTCAGGTCCTGTCTGCTCTGATGCATTTATAAATATATATTTCTCTATGCATCTTTGTTTTTTACTTACTTGGCATGTGGCACTCTCATTTTTTTCGCCTTTGCTTGTGTCATAAAAAATTTACAATGCCCCGTTGGTAAGAATATACATATATATATATACGTAGATATATACAAAAAATGAAACATTTTAGCGCTGCCTACAACAAAATATTTGCATTACGCATACGCCGCTTGGGTTTTCATACGCTGGCATTTGCCTGGCGGCGACATCAACTGCTGATCCATACATGGATCCCACTCTCTCGCTGTCTCTGTCTGTCTATATGGGCGCCACACGCGCCTGACTGCGATTTAGTGTAATTTCCGCAATCATTTCCTACAGCATTTTATGCCACCGCGCGCATTGATACGATACACAGCGCCTGGTTCCTTCAAGCAGGGAACTGGGACTGACTGGCTAACTGACTGCCTGACTGCCAGACGGCTGGACTGCCAGACGGCTTGACTGCTTGACTGGCCAACCTTCAACCTTGGCAGCAGCTGCTGCTGCTGCTGCTGCTGGCTGATTTCACATTTTATTTGCTTTGCGACTTTTTCGACTGAATTTCAAACAAATTGCAGGCATTTCTTTGGGGATTGGCCGCATTCGTAGATAAAGGAAGTCGGGCGCTAGTTTTTGGCTTTTGGTTATTCGGCTCGGCATTCAGCTTTCAGCTTTCAGTTTCAGTTTTGTGTGTGGCATTTAAGCGAAAATTGCTTAAATTGAATTATGGCATTCGCTGCATATTTCGCCGGCTCGTCGGCTGTGGCCGTCGCCTCAGTCAAATGCTTTTGCATTAAATTTATAGCGCGCAATAAACTTTTGCGGTCGCTGGCGAAACTTCAACGCGCCAAATACCGCAGGGCAATTACAGCACAAAAGATGCCGAAGTGAGAGAGACAGAGAGAGAGAGAGAGAGAGAGAGAGAGAGAGAGAAAATGGAAACCAAAAATCTACATGCATAAATATGTTGCTGGAGCAGCGAGTAGAGAAGCTGGTCAAAAAATTGCTACTAACTGATTTCGGTTTTCTCTTCTCCTCCACCAAACACATTCTCATGTTGCTTCAAACAACATGCACAGAGAGAAAGAGAGAGGGAGAGAGTGGGGCAACAACAGT